CCAGCCCGCTCAGAGATGTGTATAAGAGACAGCATATATATAATACATTTTATACTCAAAGAAGAGATAAATCTAAATATTTTAAATTACAAAATTGTTGAAAATGCCCAATAGCGTGACGTGATTAAGATAATATTAAATTGTTGTATCCTCTCTCTCTCTCTCTCTCTCTCTCTCTCTCTCTCTCTCTCTACAAATTTCAAGCCAAGACAATTTATTAATAGTTTAATTTTTAATTTTTAATATAAACCGCAATTAGTAGCAACTATTCAATTTAATATTATAATTTTCTAGTGTCTAGTAAACTTTTTTGTAAATGGTATTGATGTGTTATGTATATATATTATTGACATAATTATATAATATATTTTACATAATTACATAGTTAAATAAATATACAATTTGATAGTGAATCGTGATATTATTGTATGTATTTGATTTCGATTGTTTGTGGCTATATTGTGGTATACACATCGGTTTTGTATCATATTTCCGTTTCCTGGTTGCAGCTGTGACATGCTATGACTGGTTGCTCTGACTTGCTGGTGAAACTCTGTGTTACGTATATGATTTGAATTTCCTAAATAAAGAGAGTTTTTCTTGAAATAAAAGCTAATATTATAACAAAGAAAACGTGGAATATGCTTCAAAAATTGTAGAATATACATTTTTTGGCAGTGTTTTTTTATTATAAATAGATAAAAGAATTAATCGATTCGTTTCACAAGCTACGATATCGATAACAATCCCTGGAATGTAGTATCGTATTTACAATTGTAACAACATAAAATGTAAATGTTACAATGTGCATCATGCATTTGTAATGATTTCTGGTTTGCAAAATTCTGCAATTTAATTTTCAGTTATAACGTATACATTTATAACTGTAATGTGCAATAGCAAATGTATACTTCGAATACGCAACCCATGAATTTGTGTCTCGGTGAGAGCCGAGACCTATTTTGCGTGGTCGATTGCTGACGTCATAGCTGTACTGTATGCACGTATAAGAACATATACTCGCTTATAACGCGATGAAACGATGAATGAGCGAATGTACATATATACATTCAAATGGATGTTTTCATTTTCAAAGTTTTGCAAAATATTCCATAAGCACAGGGTATAATATTGTTACGAATTTTCGCTAGAGGGGTCATGCGATCTGTTTGTAGTACACAGCGAAATTCAATAATTCAATACCAGTATTGGATGGTAAACACAGAAGTACACTTGTCGTTGCAAAACTTTGAAATATTAAATGAAACGATACGATCAATAGAAAATAATAGCGAACGAGTAATTGCTTCTTCTTCTCACCGTGTTATCATTGTGAAACGGTGCAATATGCAGCCGGTGCATGCATGTAATTCAACCTTATCGGATTTAACCACCTGTGCGTAATGGTACCTGCTGCAGGCAGTATTCGATTATCTATCTGCAAATTCTATGTATCTACAAGCGCAATTAATCATCACCGCCAAATATAAAGCACGTGACGAATTGACGTCATGGGAATCTCCTAATGCTGAAACAAACAGTTGCAATCTCTCACCGCCGCTGTTTTGGCAAGAGTTTGGGACACGCCGACGTCTCTTACTACCACTATTGCTGTCTTTTACGCAACGGTCCATTTTCGAACGCGGGTATTTATAGATCATGTACCTTACTTACAATCATCTTCGGCTGCAGTGCGGCAATTGTCAAGCGCACATAATAGAATATTTACCGGGTATGGATATAAAATCTAAACTTCGGACTTACGAAATCACTGTGCGTAAAGATATCGGCGCCTCTATTATGTAAGCAAACGTGAAGCAACCGCAAAATAACAAAGTCACGATGTGGAAAAAGACGAGCGTTAACGCGAAACTTGAAGCTGATGCAATCGCGGGATGTAACGATCAATAAGCTACAAATTTAATGCTGCTCGCATAAGTGTATATTGCTATATACTTTGACGCGTGAAATCTCACGTTGCATTTCATAAAAAAAATTTATACTCGTGCAACGAGATAAGAACAAATTTTATGTTCTTTTTTTACATCGGAAAATAAAACATTGTATCAATAAATGTAGGCACGTGTGATGTGTGCGCGCACGTAGAACTGAGAATAAACTTGTGTTACTATATGTTGTTATTATAATGTACAAATCTCGAGTAAAACGACAATTTATTACATTTTCTAATGTAGTTTTTAAATATTTTCAAATTTTGATGATAAATCAATTATGATAATTATCTATATCTACCAACATCCTAGTCCAAATGTTTCATTGATACTGCAACGAATAGTATGTAAACTTTATCACGGAGCTAATATTAGTTACGCAAGGGTGATTCACAACTTGCCAAATCCAATCTCCATAATTCTACAATTATATTATGGAAATATAACTTTCGCTGAAAGTGGATTACGTGATTGAGAGTCTGTTCGCATCCTCTACTTCGCTCGCGAAATTTCGCGCGCTACTAAATGCGCACGTTAATTAAATAATCCGGTTATCCGCACTGAGCATTCTGTACATTGTTGCGACAACAGATTTTCCATGTTGAATGAATCTCGTAAAACTCAGCATCAGCAACATCAGTACGAATATCACGAAATTTCGGAAACGTGTCAATCATTCGCGAAATTGCGGTGTCGAAAAGGAGAAACCGCGAATGAAACGAAGAACAACGAAATTTGGCGAATTTACAGACCCCAGCCACTCCATTCCGCTCGCCAAACGTTTCCTAACTCGTATCAATCTCCATTACTATATACCTACTATATAACTCGGCACAGTTGGGGCGGGCGCTGAGACGCGAGTTACTTTCCACTTTAGACGCGCGTTTTAGGTTTCGCGAACAATGCAGCCGTTATCCTTGAGGCGCGTTTGCGCGTCATTTGCGATGCAAGCGCTCTGAATCTTTCGAATTTTTCTCAACCCAGAATACACAATAATCTCACATTTTTAAGCATTGGCCATATCCCAAGAATTCTCAAGCAAGAAGAAGCTGAAGTAAACAATTTGACATTTCGTTCCTGAATAAAAAACTATCGAATATAAAAAAACATTCACAAAAAATCAATAATATGCAATTAATTGAGAATACGATGTTTTTCACTTTTACCCTGATTCATTTTTATTTAAATATTTTTTTCTACATTTTAAAGCATGTGCGATCGTGATTCAAAAAAAGAAAAATATATATATAAATAGAAAAACTGTAAACATCGAAAAACAAATAGTAATAATAACAATGTTAATCACAGTACTTAACAAGTGAAATTATTTTGCAGTAGTACGTGACAATAATTACGAATTCCTTATCAGAGATAAATTGAAAGCTAATAATGAATCAATGAAGATTTAATGAGATCATGTAATTAATTAGTTTGCGTATGCATACATATAAGTGATACAAGTAGATGCAAAACGATATCAGCTGTTTGACAAATAAATAAAGTCTGATACGTATTTGTAGACACTTGTATCTACTCATGTCATTTGTGTACAAAAGGTAAGCGATTACGTACTCTTTATTCGCTCAATCTTTATTAATTTATCATGTTCTTGCTGTCTCTTTTTATCTCTGATAACAAATTATCACCTAGAATCACGTGCTACGATTTACTCAAACGCATGACAAATTGACGCGTTGACACGTTTTTCTTGCTGTTCATTTACGCCATGACTATGTCAACATTATTAATTGCCTATACGACGATAGTCTTTCTTGTAAAATTCCACTCACAATCCGTTATGAGTTTACCTTCTTTTATAAATATATTTTCTAAATAAAATTTTTCTAAAAAGGAAATTATATCTCTGTTAGGAAAATAATTTAATATTATTTTAGTTTTAGAGGCACCAAAATAAATAAAATAAAATAAATACGTATGAATTATTCTCTTTTTAATTAAAAGTTTGTAACTAATTAGAATAAATAAAAAACATTATTTAAATAATTTTCAAATAATTTTTAATCGGAAATAAATAACTCTCGTTTTTTAACACTCATATTAAAAATAGAATTAATGAATGCTAGGGAAAAATTGGCTAAAATGTTACAGCTCCGAATAGAATATATGAATGTGCAGTCTATACCTGAAGATGCGTTGGCCGATTTAGCACCGCGAGAAATAAAGTTCCGCGATTCACTTCAACGAGCTCGTACAATGAGACAAAAAGAAACTGATAAGCAGTCACGTAGCTGTGAGAATTCACTATTGACAATAACTATTATAACTATTTTAGAACTAACTATTTTAATCTCACAGTATATTTTGATTCTGTTCCCGCACGGATGGATATAATCCATCGAAGAAAAATTGTTCTCCGAATAATTTCTAACGACTATCACTATTCGATCAATCGTAAAAATAAATCTCTTTTCGAGATACAGATTAATTACACGCATGTACCATTGCTTTCGTATTATTCCGTTGTATTCATGCGACGAGTAAACCAACAATTAAACACAATACAAATATCAAATCACAATAAAAATATTAAAAATTAAAATTTTTTTAATTAAAAAAAAAATATATATATATTACATAAATTTAATAAATTAGTATTGTAAGAAAAGTAATTTTGTTATTACATTTTGATGAAAATCAATCATAAAATATCATCAATTTCGCAAAGATTGAGTCATTTAGATATGTCTGTAAAAATAGCAACACATGACTGATAAGTATTGACGTAATACACAGTTCTGAAAATAAAGTTATTTGTCGTATATATATATATATATATATATATATATATATACACAATTAAACATTTGATATTGCTAATCTATCAATCAGCCATTCTGCATTCGGTGTCAACAATGGACGCGCGCTAGTCACGATAGCTACTGACTGATACTTTTTAAATGTAGCAGCCATGCTGTGTGGACTTCCCAGTATTACGTCGGCGGCTGACCACGTCGCATGGACTGTGAATTCACTTCGAAATCGGATTCAGCCGATCTGCGAAACGTACGGAACTTCAAAGTGCTGTGTACGAACTCGTGAACATCGTATGGTGATTGACTGACGACCATAGATTTTCCACGTCTCATCCTCTATCTCGATCGGGAAACTGATCGAGTTACCTTGATCGGAGAACGCGGGAGCCTTTCGTAATTTTACTTATTCGTCGACAAACAATCGTGAAGCCGGCATCTTTGTGTCCATAAGTGCTGCTGAATCACCCAAATTATCATCGTGACAAAATAATATAATGCTATACGAAATAATGCTTACGTAATAGTAATATTATCAGACGAAGTGAAAGGAAACGCGTCCCGACCTTGGCAGACAACACACAATACCCAGAATGTGGATAACGCAAATATTCCATCCGAAATCATCAAATATGTAACATTACAGCCTACAGGTATATATGCAAATTTTGTATCAATAAAAACGGGTTCCATATAAATTAATGGAAATTTTATAACACTCCGATTTCACCTCAGAGAGATTTTGAGAAATCCTCGTTTATTTAAGGTAGAATTTAATGGCTTAATTCAAATGCATAATAATTTATGCATTTTAGAAATTGCATCTGAGTTTACAAACTTTTCGACAGCAAGTTTCCGCGTAAAAGGCAAAAGATAAAACTTGTAATTTTGCACTTGTGGAAAAACTTTTCATTATAATATTAAATAAGCGTTAGAAACGTTGGACAACAGCAGAAAAACGAAATTGAACTTATTTCTCTTCCGAATCATCTAGACCATCTTTTCCAAATTGGTTCATTGAAAAAGTCTTGCAGAGCTGTTAATAATAACACTCAGCAATATAATAATTTTGACAATATGTAATTAATTTTACTATGCTCCTCACCTTCTATGTAAATCATAAAAGAAGAACGAGAAGAATATTCGTTCGCTTCGCTTTCTGATAAAATAAAATAAATAAAAATTCCATTGACAATTTATGTTACATTGACATAAAATTCCATAAATGATAACTATAAATCTATAAATAATTCTTTGAAAATTTAAACTGTAAGTTTTCATCGTCAACAATACATACTAAGATATTAGTTTCTGCCTAGTAATGTTACCAGATTAGCAGTAGTTAGCAGTTCCTTACGCAACTATGTTTGCCGTCATGAGCAATACGTAATGTACTACGCTATTACTTTGCAACACTTTTTATGCAAACTCGAGATTGTGATAATTGTCAGAAGCACACACGTTGCTTAATAATTTACAATATACGTCTATCTATATGATAATTTCAATGTTAACGAATGAAACAGTTTCAAAGATATAACAATTTTAATTAAAGAAATTACGCAACGGATAAATGGGCGAAATCTCTACATTCAATCGAAACGTTTCATATATCAACACATTTTGAAAACATATTTCAAAATAATGCTATATATTTACTATTTTTTTCCATTACTGAATATACATGCACGAGAATTGCATTGTAATTGCATTATATATTTTTATATCGAGGTCATTATATTTTAAGTTATAATTCACTGGCTGAGAGCCGAAATGTATATGAGTTTCATTATAATTGCAAATCTGTTCGATCGCCGGATATGAATTCATTCAAGGAAATGCTTGGATATTACCCATTTAGCATCAGAAACGCGATCAGACTATGGGTGTATTTGAAAACGCTGTGATTATTCGTATCACGATCGTGCATTTTTATCGAAAATATCCGAGCAGCATCAAGAAGAGTCGATGTGTCCATTGATCTAACTGCTCGACCAATTTTTTGTCTCAAATAAGAAAACCAATAAGAAAACTTACATAACGCTTTACAAAATTACTGTAAAAACATCATCAAAGGCGGAAAGAAAGAATGAATCAGTCATAAAGCTGTTTTTTTTCAGCGCACACTTACACGCTAACTTTGATATTTTTTGCATATTATATATGCGTATACATTTATACACAGGTAATATCGTGATATCGCACACTTTATGGACAAACTTGAAGGGTACTAATTAAATTAAGTGATTTATAGACGCAATAGGTTTTTGTTGGCATAAATTTACCTATAAATACAATAATTGTTAGGCAAATAAATAGGTAAGAGCATGCAAAGATCTCCAAAGAATTAATCGTGCGATTGTGCAACGCACGGAACAAAGGCCGACCTTTGGTAAATGTATCGACCTTGCTTTTAAATACTGTAATTCAATCGTTCATGTAGCTTAAGATAGTTATGCTACTTGTTCTCGCATGCGAGAGTGTTTTGCCAAATGATAAAAATAATCCCAGTATAAAAATAATCCGGCAGCGAGGTCCATGTTCGAATGAAGATTTAAGCGTGCTCACACGCAGGAGTAGACTGTCTTTTAATAACCGCGTCTCCGTCTATCTCCGTTTTTTCCCGGACGCAGCTGCACATCAGACTGCGGATACGTGGAGGAAGAAGAGAGAAGGAAAGACGAAAGACTAGTCGAAGTGGGTATCTTCTTGCAAAACTTTCCGCAATAATCCGGCGCAAAAAACGCGCAGCATCTGACGCTGTCAAAAAGTCCCTAATGCGAATTGGGGGGGGGGGGG